AGTGATGTCATTGATTTTAACGAACGTAATCAATGCATCACTGGTAAATTATTAAGTCAGGGATTTCGTTACCATAAATTACCTAAAACTTTTATTAAAATCTTTCATAGATACAAAGATTTGATTAGTATATTTGGCTGTACCTGTAAAAACAATATTTCACATCCTAAATTTTACGGTAATATTGTACTAAAAGTGCGGAAATCACTATGTGATCCGTGTAAACTCATCGAACCTTTAAACAAACTTATTAGTAAAGGTTATTTTATTAATGTTGTAATAAGATCCTTTGAATATTGTTTACATTGGCACAAATATCGATTTTGTCATCAACAAATTAAAACATAACTAAATTTGTATTCGTTTCGAAAGGTTTTTTGGATGTATAAATACACATCCACGTTCATTTTCTATATACAGATTGCTTTATCTATATATATAACATTATACATATTTATTATAATGTTAAATCCAAACTATCCTACTGCCTGTCGATATTTTTATTTTGGAATTGCACAAGTCATGTCTTCTTTGATTCTCGATGGCGTTAAAACACTTAATCCCTAGGATGTGATTTAGTTGATTTAAGTCTCTGATGCGTGATTTTTTATAATTAATTGTTTTTGGCTTTTAACTAGCTTTCAGTAACTGCGAGTTCTCTCAAATCGTACTTTCGTGTTAATTTGTTCTGTTACACAATTTGTAATGCATTTTTGTTATTGAATGTTTACTTACTTTGTGTTATATCTCGTCTCACTATTTTTAATATGTACCACCTTTGATAAGTATTTAGTATGACGATAAATTTTCACTGCTGTTCTCGTACTATGAACAAAAAATTTATTTATTTTGTAAAAAATATCTCCGTATTCCTAACAACAAAATTATTATATTTAAATTTACCTGTGTACGTTATTTTATTTAACGCCATTTTGTCCAAGGTTATAGTTGTTTTTTTGACATTGTGTTATAATAGATCAATTTTATTCGTTCAGTGTATGTTTACTTGTTTTTGTTAATATGTGTCTTTTTGATTGAGTTAAGCCATTTCAATTGATATTTTATAGTGTGTCTTTCTATGTTGTAATGTTACACTACTATTTCAGGTTAGGGTAAAGGTTGGCGCCTGTTAAAACGTTTAAACCCGCTGCATTTGTTTGCACCTGTCCTAAGTCAGGAACCTGTTTCAGTGGTTGTCGTTTGTTGATGTGGTTCTTAAGTGTTTCTCGTTTTTTATATAGATTAGAATGGTTTTCCTGTTTGAATTGTTTTACACCAGTCATTTCGGGGCCTTTTATAGCTTGCTGTTCGGTGTTATACAAGGCTCCGTGTTGAAGTCCGTACTTTGACCTATAATTGTTTACTTTTTACACATTGTGACTTGGATGGAGAGTTGTCTCATTGGCACTCATACAACATCTTCTTATTTCTATTGTTCTAATTTTACACTTGATGATTCTTTATCTATATTTAAAAACAATGTTAAATATCAATTTTCATACAAATTTGGTCAAATGCCAATTAGTAAATTACATAATATTTATAACGAGTGTGATACAATATCGTTTTTCAGTCCAAAATATGAGTGTATACGTATTTTTAAAGCTTTTTGTCACCATAAACTGTTCCCTCAAATTGGCAAACTTGAAGATCATAAAAAGTATTTTCTGAAAATAAAATACATTAATAGAGGTAATGATTTTACTGATTTGTCTTAAGCTGTTCTCCGGATAATTTCCTTTTTAATTATATCGATAAACATTCATTTTGTTGCACTCAGGATTTTAGTGCTTTATAGATGTAGTATTTTTCATGACTCTACCTTTAAAAACTCTATACCTCCATATTTTGATAACATAGAGCCACTTATAATTTCTTATTCGTATAAATAAAAAAAGTAGAAGCTTAATTTTTATTTACACGTTAGTTACATCAGACGTCAGTATAGAAAATAATACTCCTTCAACATGAGATTGTGAAACATCGAAGTTTAGATATGATCCCTATGGCCATGTACTTACAGGGGACCCTAACATCGTTCAAAGACGAGAAATTATAAGCTTCCCGAAAAAAGTACCAAAATATCGTCGACCATCAAATATAAATTGGGAAGAGTACTCACAAAGCGATTTGTGTTCGTACCGGCCGATAAAGCAGCCAACAATGTGGTGGTGGTATGACGTAAATACTACACGGAAGTCCTTAAGAATGAAATTATACATTCAACTACATTCAAGGCAGCACGCTCCACAGAGAGTCATATAGTAAATTATCATGTCACTACCACAGCTCAGCTTATGGCCTCCTCTGAACATTTGAAGGTCCCCACTATGTATTGGTTACCTAAACTACACAATGAATCTGTAACATATCGTTTCATCTCGGCCTCTAGTAAGCGTTCTACTACTAGAATTTCAGTGCTTTTAACGATTTCCTTAACTACTATCAAAGAAATTATCATTATTTTTTGTAATAAAACATATGAAAATAGTGGAATTAACCATTTTTGGAGTGTAAAACATTCTTTTGATGTTTTAAATAAATTACGTCGTTTTGATGGTTCTTTTGATTCAGTTGACAGTTTTGACTTTTCCACTCTACAAACTGCACTTCCACACAATCTTATCAAACAATTTTTTTTCTATTTAATAAATGGTCTATAAAAATTTGATAAATCTTATTGCAACTCATATAAAGCCTTTTTCTCAAATGAGTAAGGCAAATATTCTAGATATACTTACTGGAGGTGTGATGATATGATTAACGCCGTAAATTTTCTCCTTGACAACATTTATGTACGTTTCGGAAATAAAGTTTATCGACAGGTTGTACGTATTCCTATGGGCACCAATTGTACCCCTTTAATAGCAGACTTGTTCCCGTACTGTTATGAATCACAGTTTATGGCCAAACTCAGTAAAGACCCGTATTAATTCCATTTAATTGATAAATTCAACAACGCTTACTGTTATCTTAATGATATTTGTTCATTAAATAATCAAGAATTCTAGATAAACTGCCGAAATTTACCCAATTGTTAATTTTTCTTTTTTTGGACGATGATTTTGTTTACCGAACCCGGAAATTTAGATACGATCCGGGTAAACTTATCAATCCTTTAACTAAACTTATTCTTAAAGGTTACTAATTCAACACCAAATAGCCAAATCCATCTAAGGTCAACTTTGTCTGAGGGAGTTGAAACCTTAGTGTCTTACAATTTCAAAATTTATTAACGGACAATTTTAGAAAGGTTAATAAATAAATCATGTCATTACCGAAGTACTACTGAGCTGATGATACCATCGGGGACTGATAGTCTACCAGCAGAGGTATCGACCCAGTACTGTAAAAAAATTAAAACAACACGTTATAAAGTTCATGCGTCCGAAGCGCTTCTCTGGATTTACCTTCATCAGGAACGCTCAAAGCAGAATATTTGAAAGCCAAGGATGTATAAGAACCTAAACAGTTGAAGAGCTGTATAACCAAAAAGGACCTTAAAAAATAGCCAAATCCATGTTAGGTAAACTTTGCCTGAGGGAGTTGAGACAGCTATAAACCAGCACATGTGGATGTAAGCTACTACATTTGTTAAGGTCGCCGTGCAGACAGCTATACAAGTGCCCCAACATAACAAAATGTAAAACAATTCAAACGAGGAAATCTACTTCCAAATTTATGTGAAAATGATAAACGAAAATCAAATATGACAGACAGCAACCACTGACAACCAATGAATTACAGGCTCCTGACTTTGGACAGGCACATGATGTTTGGGGTTGGATAAACATGTCTGTGAGCGCTCCTCGACTAACCTGAGACAAAATATGAGACTCGGAGGGTTTGACTCAGATCGGCACGAAATACAAAGACAAAGGACACTAAATACCGATCTAAGAGTCCTTGTAGTTATTGAAAGCTAGGACACAAAATACCGATCTAAGAGTCCTTGCAGTTATTGTAAGCTAGGACACAAAATACCGATCTAAGAGTTCTTGCAGTTATTGTAAGCTAGTGTTATAATTAGATATATGGATTGTAAGTTAACTGTTATGTGCATTTATCCTGCCGTTATTACCGTACGGAAAGGAAACCGGATGTTGGTACCAGCTGAAGCTGAGAGAGTTTGTAATTTTTTTTTAATCATCGGTAAGAATTCCTATTTTTTATGCATTTGTAATTATTGCAGTGTCTAAAGATTTGTATAATAATATTTTGGAAATTGACCTGTTCTCCAAATAATTTAGGAATAGATATAGAAACTTTCATCTGGTAAAAGTATCCGGTTTAATGCTTATAAAGAATAGATATTTCTTCCTATTATTCAATTATGACCCACTTTAAATACACATGACAATAATATTCATAGATTGTCTTTAAGTTATGTAAATCACAAATACAAAGTTTCGATAGTGTACGGCAACTTATGTATTGATATGTACGGCAGCTTGCATTTTACAATCTCTCTCCGCTTTAGCTAGTACAATTATCCGGTGTCCGGCGCTCCCATACGGTGTTATGTTTTGTGTTATACGTTTACAACCAAACATGTATCGCTCTGCTTTATTTGAATACTATAAGTTGTTTGGTTCAAGCTGGACCACACCAAATTCTTGAACTTAGATGTACAGTTTTGAAGCGATCGAAAAAAAACATATCCGCACAATACTTTAAAATTTTAGAATTTTACAAGCGTTGTTCGGTTTTTGATATGTATTACGTTCAAGATTGCTTTAATCAAATCAGATTAAGATTCATTTTACATCATGCTGATGAAAGATAACTGTTAGCCGAAATATTTATAATAAATGATACATGTATTGACTGTTTCTTTTTTTTTAATATTGGTGTTGTTTTGTACACTTTTATAGGCGTATATATATACATATATGATAGTTTCATGTCTTTTCAATTGTATTGGTTTTGAAATACTGAAAGCCAACTGATGGTGACGTGTTTATGAAATTATGAATCTGTAAATTGAGTTGTTACTGCATTTATTAAAACGATTTCACATTTGGCTACATGATAAACTATTGCTCCCTATTGTAAAAAACAAAAACAAAAAACAAAAACCATCAACAACAGAACACACGGAAACGCCTTATTTATATAAACTACAAACCAAAATACCGTTGATTGGTTAGTCAAACTATGAAAAACTGAGACTATAACATGTACTTAATGAGCTATTTTACATCAAAATTTTAATTTGAAACATGTTCTTGAAGGTTCTTTTGACAAATGTCGGATAAAAGCTACATCCTACTTCTATTAAGATTACAATTAGTTAAACATTGTGTTGGGGTATAGCATATTTCCAAGTGAATTATAGTACGGGTCATTTCCAAGTGAATTATAATACGGGTCATTTCCAAGTGAATTAAAGTACGGGTCATAACTGTCTGGATGGACAACATTTCTATCAAAATAATGTTTGACGACAGGCGACATTTGTGGTGCTATACCAGCTGCCACTTTGGAGTTATTAGCCAGGATCATGTTTCCGGCACCTGTATTGCTCCTGCTGAATTGCTGTGGTCTGAAGAATTGTTGGGGTGCGACATTTGCCATTTGTGGTCCTTGAATCCTATTATTCGTTCCCATATATTGTTGTTGTGCCATATCATACATGTTCTGTAAACTATACAGGGGATGACTGGGAAGTAGAATGCTTTTCCCCGTATTACAATCCCGCGTTTCATCTGCTTTTAGAACCATGACGTCTTTGCAGCCATCACGAATAGTTTTGCAATGATCAGGTGGTGTCGGGGCGATACCGGCTAACGCACCAACTCTGAAAGAAATTACAGTATTACTTTTTTTTTATATTTCTAAAAAATACCTCACATTTTATCATGCAAAAACAAAGTACTCATGAAATATAAAAACAGTAAATCAGGATTATTCTTAATAGATTCTCATTATTAAGAATGATCCATAGCCAGATAAGTTGATTTTAGAATTCAATATGTATTCCCCCTTAAAACACGGAGCAAAATTCGGGCCACAACTGTTTTCAAAGTCTAAATGGAAAAAGCATGAGGACTTTATGAAGAAAAAATAATCATTTTAACCATTTTTGTATATTTTATGTACTTTCTTTGAAATTATAGTAACAAAGATGTTATGTACATGTAGAAAACATCTAAGCTTCTTATACAAAGAATAACTACCCGCAACACGAAAGCTCCTTCTCTCCACACGAACATTTTTCACAACTGGCTAGGTTAACAATAGATCCATTCAAGATTTCTAGTCCATTTGAAAGCGTACAAACAGTAATATTACGTCCAGATGCTGAAAACATACAAGTAAATTAGATGTAATATGTACTGAACTTTAGGGTATTTTCTAAAAAAAAATCCATATATATGGTTTGTGGTTTTTTTTCCGAGAGAGGAGGGAGCATTTTCAAACAATCTAAATATAGATTGTAAACTCATTTGCGATTTTTGGGTGTGGAGGTTCCTGATTAAGGCAAATCAAGATAAGCGCTTCGGACTTTTTTAGCACTTGATCGATACAGCTGATGATGGTCTGCCCAGCTCAGTAGTCGGGTCTTCTGTCCTGACATAATTTTTTACATACATTTAATAAATAGATATAAGAAGATGTGGTATGAGTGCCAATGAGACAACTCTCCATCAAAGTCACAATTTGTAAAAAGTAAACCATTATAGGTCAAAGTACGGCCAAATATACTCTTATTTCAAATGTTTGGGTTTGGGAGTTGTTGAAGGGAAAATCAAGAAAAGCGCTTCGGACGGACCAACGTGTTATTTTATTTTACACAAGTATTTCTTATTCTATAGAATTATTCTATAGAACTAATCTGTTTTTCATTAGATAAAATGCCAAAATGTAGATACAAATATCTTGTTTAAGAATGAAACAAATCATACTTTGTAAAAAAAAAATCACAGATTTTAACTAAAAAAAACGTAAAAAGTGCTATGAAAAGGACATCATCAGGGTGCTTGATTATTTTGTATTGACAACGTATTTGATGGGAATGTTTTTCAACAGAGAGTCGACATTCCTATGGGAATCAATTATGCAGCCTACTGGTTTACAGTTATTGTATGAGGAAGACTATTTATGGGGGCTTTGCAAGAAAAATTAAATGAAGCTAGCAGTTATTCTTAAATTCAACGTTCCGCTAACAGATGATGAATTTGTCCTCTCCCTGAATAATATACTGACTAACTTTAAAAACGCAACACTCATTTTGTTGATTTTTTTTTCCACATCATGTTTGATTCTCATACAACTACTATTAATGCTTACCATACTTCTTTCTCTTAAGAAAAAATCAACATCTGACTTACCTGTGGTTATTGAACGTACCGGATTTTTGAAGTCGCACGAATTTCTTAAAGCGAAATTTGGAACCCATAAAAGATTTTATCAGTTTGTTTTGCTTCGTGAAATAGTTCTTTCAATCCTTGGCCACACTTAAATCAGTTAAAAAATGTTGCATTTCCATATTGACAAGACTGAGGAATAAAAAACTGAATCATCCCATAAGAATACTGCAAACAGGAAAACGTGAACGTGCTGCAACCATACAGTTTGACTTCAGAAACTCGTCTTACTGTCCTTCCGACAACGATACAGGTAGACGGGATCTGTTACTGACCATCAATGACCAGATCAACATGTAGTGACAATGCAACGTCAAAAGAATTTGATTACGCAACGTCATTTGCGAGACATGTTTACGGCCGCAACATCAACTGCTTATCAAATTGCCGAATGCCATCGCGCACAGATTCATGCCATAAACGTTTCCCATAAACTGAACTGCCAAAGAATCGACTGAAGAAAAACATTTAAAGCCCTGAAGATTCCACCGCATAATTGCCAAAACCCATTGTAATGGGTGGAACAAACGCATATTCAGAAGGTGTAAAACATAACCCAAAACTTGTGGAACAGAATTGGTTGATCTTTCTGACAATCATATTGGCGTTTGTAACAGGCAGTCATTGCTTTTGACGGTGCCACATTCATTCAAAAATTTAAAAAGAATAATCTAGTGTTGCGTTTCTAAAGTCGGTCAGTATACGAAGTTTGGTGACTATCTCAATGGTATGTAGTATGTATCCAATTAATAAATGGATTTATAAACAAGTACAAGTAATAGCGAACAACACATTGATCCGATAGTCTAATTGGGTACATGTACATGGTCCAGTTAGCCGGACTGTTGTAAATAAAAACCATGATTTCTTGAAAAGGGCAAACCTGTACGGAAATGGTCACAACATACCACAAAACTTTCAATGTTGGACTACTTCAGGGTATCACGATTACTGCATAGGGAGAGTCAAATAGTTATTTGTAAAGAAGATAGATAATTTACCCTGAATTTTGTTTTGTCTCTAAATTTTAAAGGCCTAACAAGGATGTTGCTTTCATCATATGATATAAGCCCACTGATATCAAACATATTGCCTATATCGATGCAGAAAAATCATATGTTTTCACTTATTTTAAATTTGCAAACAATGTTTATTTTTTTAATATTGTAGCACAACGGTCATCCTCAAATCTTAAAATGTAGATATAGTTATTAAGTTGTCTTATTTAAAGAATAAGCAAAAATGTAATTTTAAAATCTTTCATTACATGGGCGTATTTCCCTTCTTTTGCATATATTAAAATAAGAAGATGTGGTACAATTGTCAATGAGACAACTCTCTACCAGAGACAAAAAGACATAGAAGTTAACAACTATAAGTCACCGTACGGCCTTCAACTATATGTAAAAACCCATACCGCATAGTCAGCTATAAAAGGCCCCGAAATGACAAATGTAAAACAATTCAAACGAGAAAACTAACGGCTGATTTATGTACAAAACAAACATGATATACAGCAACAAACGACAAATGTCTGATTCTTTCCGATTGTTTTAAAATATTATCTGCATTTTCTTAATATGATAATCACCCTTTCGTATAAATCACTGTTATGTACTACAACGTACAGCTTAAATAAACACCATTTAACCACTTGTAAAAAGTTGTTATGAAAATTAACAATTGTAAACAGTTTTTTTATTGCTACAATACCATGTTAGTTGTTCAAATGAAATATTTGAAATATTCATTCAATTTAGAATAATCTTAAATACCGGTTTTATCAAATTTGTTCACAAAACTGCACATTCGGAATCTCAGGCTAAGGACGGTTGAAGGAACAAGACATAACATAAAAAGTGGGGTACAAAGTTTGAACAAATTCAACAAAATATGTTTCAGTTAGACCGAGAAAGCGTTTTTTTATACAAATTTTAAATACTTGTTATAGTTGAGTAACTATATTTGTTAAATCTGATCCAATATTGACAGAGATTGGACAAATCCCAACAATTGTATGCCCATAATATAAAGGCTATCAAAAGCTATTGGTATATACTAACAAACATTAAACCAGTATATTTTTTTTATTTTTTCATTTGTAAAATTTGCGTCCCACTATTGTCAACCTTACTAAGAATTAAACAAAAAATAAATCACGTGAATACTGAAATATTAATACTCTACCTAATTGTCGAACTTTCACTTTAGCTGTGGAGCAAGATCCTTCAATAAGAGGAACAAAAATAACCAAACAGAATATCAGTAACATTTTCGAAGAACTGTGAAAACCTTACAACCGTCAAAATGTCAAGGAAAGTACACAGTCGTTAATTTAAGCATGTCTTATTAATTGATAAAAAATTTAGTTAAACTGTAGAAAACCCTTTTAGCTGTTTATGTGGTAATTTATCTTTTATGTGGTAATTTATCTCTTATCTTTTATGTGGGCTCATTTGATTTATTAGAAGTTTTACAGTACAAGCCTCCTAGTTGTTGATAATAACTCTTTTTCTAAATGACCATATTCACCTGACGTTAGCTCAAAGCATGTATTTATTTAATACGTATTTTCTTTTTGTAGATGTGAAATAAAAGGGGGAGTTATGTAAGGTACTTTTAGTGAGATGTTTTATAAATGTACAAAGGCTTAGATCTTAACTAGAGGCACATCGAACAAAGCTCACAAAACGATACCACCACCCTTGCAAAGTTCATAATTTGCTAATGTAAACGCCAAAATAGTTAAGATCAAATACAAAATAGGAAGCTCACAATTGCTTTATATTGTGAAGATTCTGAAAAGGTTAAATTAAATTCTCTTTAGTGAAAAACAGGTGAACGGATAAAAATGACACTGTTATGTGCTGATATAACAAGGTTCATTTCATTCCAAGGTTAACCTAAAAATCATAATAAATATGAGGTGCATGCAACGTACATCATACATGTACGAGTAAAGATAGTTATATACAATACGATTTTTTATCCTATTTTCCTTCCGATTCAATGAGGTCTGTTTACACGATTTGAATTTTCATCCGATTTTTGCAGGTGCTTTAGCAATAAACGTATAGTGAAATTTCATTTCGAATTAATGATTAGTACATGTATGAATGAAATGCAGTCTGTTATTTATTTACCAAGATTGGCTTCAAAATTCTCTTAGCAGTGATAGTCAAGTTGAACTAAACCATTTTAGAACAAGTTTTCTAATTATGAATTAAATATGCAAAATTAAATTGCCTATTTGTACGAATCCAAGGAGATAAAAAAAAACTAAATTATTTATTTTTTTGAAATAATAGTTCAAAAGTTTGTTTTCGGAGCTATATTTGTTTGACATCAAATATAATTTATTCCAAGAAGATATATTTAAATTTGTTTACACATGATGAACCTTTTTGTTGCTTTAAATAATTATTTCGTTCCTCAAATAATTATGTCGTTGCCGGTAAATAGCATTTCTTTGTATCAAAAGAAACATTTCTTTAATTGAAATGCTATTTCGTTTCATCAAAATATTTTCAGTTACTGCACGTTTCAGTCCATAGTTTGCAATCTGTTGTTTGACGCCGTAGCATTCGACGTGTCCAAAGTTGGGAACCTCGTCAGTTGTTGTTTTGTCATATCTTAATGTTTTTGTTATTTGGAGAATTTGGTGGTATTGATTGAACCGTTGTTTTCTCTGTTGGTTTGTTCGCTTTTTTTTTTTTTTTTTTTTGACTCGATGTGAATTTGAGCTTGACATATTCGATTTCCATGGCTTTGTTTTTGGCTATTTGTGTCGTTAGATATGCCTGTATGAAATCAGGAATATGGCAGTTGTTTTCCATTCGTTTCGTTGGTTGATATAGTCGAGCAATAGATTTTGTCAGTTTTTATGAACTTCCCCGTTGTTTTAATTTACCTTGAAGTTCGGTATTTTTGTTAATACTTTTTACTGTCTCATTCATGTGTGTCCCATTTCTTCATATAATATATGACACATTTAAACCCCAGAATCTTTAATTTATCGGTTTAATTTTGATCATGCAGCGCATCTTGATGATTAATGATTGATCGTTGCTTACTTAGCGTCTAGTGGCATGTATTTTATACATATTCAGGATCGGAAGATCTTTATGAGGCAACTGACTAAACGAATTGATGCAAAATATAAATGCATACATAAAAAGGTCAGGGTAAAATAAAACATTTACTTTCAATCCAATGTTCGTGGCATTACAGGGACACTCTTTCAAATTTAGAAAGTCTAGTATGCGGAGTTGTCTGCCCAAAAGGGTCTCAGAATTTTTAATGTCGCAATATGATTACATCTACCAGTGAACTTAATGTGTAAGGTTGCCATTGTCACATTGTCATTTACCCATCTCTATATCAATGTCTATCAATTTGTGTTCCGTTACTCACTTGTTATTAAGAATAGCGAATTACATATACTACTTTAATAGAAAATTAATTTAGTGTTGCCATACCATTTTTCCGACTAGAAAACAAAATGAAAAAGGAAAGGTCCGTGATCAGATATTTCCTATTCCTAAGATTGTTTTAAAATATCAATTTTAAAATTGTCGAATTCCTTCAAATTTTTACAATATGACACTACCCTCCCCTTTCTTGATCCATCAGTGCTAAGTGTAGCGATCAAAACGATTATTGCGAATTACCTCTTCATTAAAAACTACAACTACTATCATTAACATCGTTTTAATTAAATGGGAGAATGGTAAGATTAAGAAAGAACATGATGTCTTGCTTTAAGATGAAAACATTTAGAATTTAGCACAAGTTTAAGGTATCCCTATGGGCACTAATTACGCCCCTTTAATATCAGAACTGTTCATGTATTGTTATGAATCAATGTGTATGGTAAAACTCAGTAAAGATACGTCTAAGTTTCATATAATAGAAAAATTTCAAAAATATCACCGTTACCTTGATATATTTGCTTTAAATAATCAATAATTCTATAATTCTACTGCGGAAATTTATCCGATATAGCAATAGTTGTCTTTTTCTAGATTAATTTGGATATTGAAGTTCCACGCTGGAAACTGTTTACAAATTACTGAAACAAAAGAGACAATTTGTCGTGCACTTCTGGCCCTTTCTTCATGCGGTGTATATATGATCCAACTCGTTCGCCATGATCGTGTCGGTAGTGTCGTTTTAGATTTCAATGAACTTGGCAGTGTTTTCATTGTGCTTTGTGACGATCTTTTAGGTGAAGCGCTTTTCGACTGATTTTTAGTTTTTCTTATGTTGTAATGTTTCGCCTCATTCCAAGGTAAGTAACAGAGTTGATCGCTCACAAACATATTAAATCCCTAATTCTTTGTGTACCTGTCCAAAGTCAGTTCTGTGATTCTGTGGTTGACGTTTGTTGCTTTTGGTCATATTTGTCTGAGCGAAAAGGGTATACTGGTTTACGTCTGTCCGTGTTTCCGTCAGTCTGTCCGTCCTATAATTATTTTTATCAGAGCTTCCTGAAATTTAGTTTCATCAATTAAGTGAGCGTTTTTCATAGTATGATGCATTTTCAGATTCCCCGCTCATCATCTCCCTGTTTACTATAGACTTATATATTCTTAATAGATATAAGAAGATGTGATATGAGTGCCAATGAGACAACTCTCCATCCAAGTCACAATTTGTAAATTAAAGTAAACCATTTAAGAATAAAATAAGACCTTCAACACGGAGCCTTGGCTCACGCCGAACAGCAAGCTATAAAGGGCCCCAAAAAATGACTAGTGTAAAACCATTCAAACAGGAAAACCAACGGTCTAATCTATATAAAAAAACGAGAAACGAGAAACACTTATTAACCACATCAACAAACGACAACCACTGAACATCAAGTTATTAATGGCCATGAATGCATGCAATTTTCGTCACTTATTCTTCATATTTACCGATTACTTATAGCGATTATTTTATTATTGATCAATTATAGCTCACACTTCAACTTTTTTAATTGTTTCACATTTTGTCATGCCGTAGCCTTCTTTACGGTATGGTTTTGCTCATTGTTGAAGACCGTACGATGAACTATCATCAATAGATGTTTATACCATCGTTTTTTGTCATTGGAGGATTATTGTCCCATTGGTAATGATGCATTGTACCACATCTTTTTATTTTTAAATTCAAGAAAGTTTTAAAATTAAGAATGACAAACACAATGAATTTTGAAGAAAAGGAAAGTAATAATGGTCAGCAAAGTCATTTAGGACTTCTCCCTTTTTGAATTTGCCTTGTAGTTTGGTACTTTTTTAAAACATTTTTTAAACAGAAACCGCATAATGATTGCAGACACCAGCAGGGGTGACTTGAGTATAAAAATATGGCAATCTAAACTACTCTAGCCCAATCCTGTAGAAAGACATATTTTAAGGTCGGTTTGATTGGCTGCTTTTATACGCAGTCACATCCGATCTGAATGTGGACATTAATTAAATTCAATATCCTGTGCTCGATTCGTGTCACGCACTTTCATAAGAATGTCTTGTGATCTAAGTAGAGTGAGTTTACCCTCTTTGGCACCTGATTATTTAACTGCAATATCAAAGTTTATGAATTGAAAATGTATCAATTTATGCCAGTGTCAAAGTATCGGCTGCTTGGCGAACGGTACCATAAAGCTATGGCGACAGTCTACCAGCAGCAGTACCAGTCGGATGTTTCACTGAAAAAGCGTTCGACATTTTTACCCGAAAAATCTACATTTCTGTATTGACATGTTTTCATCATAAAGAGCAAACGGGTTTAAATACAACAATAACGGCTTAAAATAAACTTTTCCGTTATAGTATTGGACTTGGGTCGATTACATTACCTAACTGGTAAATTTAATGGAAATATACCATTTTCCTCTTTTCCTCAAACCGTGTGTGTCGCTCTAGGTATACGTAGGATTAGTACTTATATAACTTTAACACGTTGAACTTCTCGTCCTGATAGGCATGTAATGTTGACCACTGCACACGAAATCATCATGATCATTATCTGTCCGTCGAATGTGACCCAACCGAATGCGACATATCAGAGACTTTCTATTTGTCATGAGCAGTAAAAGGAACCTGTTTTTGCGGGGTTCGTGTTGCATCTTTAATTTTCTGCGCGGTGTTTTGTGGACTGTTGTTTGATCTTCAGTACCTTCTACCTCTTTTGTAATCATCCAAATACCTAAGCTGTAAAGATTTAATTTCTTGTCAGAAAAGAAGCGATGTAAAAGGTTCACTAACGACACAATTCATGCATCATAAAAAAGGTGGACCCATTGTTTTAAAACATCCGTATCCGCCCCTGGATAAATATGGATACATGAGATATTAGAACTAAGAGAAAAAATTGTAATTGAGTGAAAGGATATGATTTATATATTTGAAAGAGAAATTGAGATTTTGTGTTGTTTGCCCTTATATACTCGTTTTGTTTAAATGTAACAAAACTTGGTAAGCATCGAAGTATAAATTATAACGACTGTATCCTACATCCTATTTCATAATTAATATATTTTTTACCATTTTATCTTTAGTTTTATATTCAGTGTTTTTAGTTTGATGTCTATACTGCTGTATAGGGAGGGTGAAGTCTTGTTAAGTGGAAGAGAAAAATATTGCTGCAATAGTAGACAGTTGTTGGCTTTTTATGATTTATTATATCATTTTCTATGTAATAAGTGCAGAGATTAAGACGGATGTCATTTTGTTTTGTTTTGTGTCTTATCGTACAGCAATGATTTGGTTCTAAAGCCTTTCATCAAGTTCTGCTTTCATAAAATGTATCACTCAATAATATTATGTATCCATTATGGTGTCTTATAATTAGAATAACTCTTTTCGTGGCCAAATAAAATAAAATAGAAGTACTGCGAGCAAAACTCACAGACTGATAACCCGGCCCTTAACAAAGTCCGTGAGGGAACACTTAAAAAATTCGGACCACCAAGAAAAAACGAAATAGGAGGTGCACAAGAGTAATGTGTGATAAAGATTCTTAGAAAGTTTCATTAATTATGACCAGGGGTTTAGGATGAGAAACGGATACAAATGTATTATTTGTTTAACTGATATTTCGATGTGTATGTACATGTCATCTCAAAGTAAACACAAAAATAATTCAGCGTTTTATCGATCTGATGAGTTAAGCCTTTTTCAACAGATTATTATAGTTTGTTCTTATGTTGCGCTGTTATACCACTGTCCAAGGTTAGGGGGAGGGTTGAGCGCTCACAAAAACGTTTAACCTCGCCACATTCTTTATGTGCCTGTGTCAAGTCAGAAGCCTGTAGTTCAGTGGTTGTCGTTGGTTCATGTCTGTCATATTTGTTTTTCGTAAATTGTTTTATTTTAAATTAGGCCGTTAGTTTTCTCAATTGAATTGTTTCATATTTTTCATGTCGGGGCCTTTTATAGCCGACTATACGGTATGGGTTTTTCTCATCGTTGAAGGTCGTACAGTTGCATATAATTGCTTACATCCACTTCAATTGAAATTTGATGGATTGTTGTCTCATTGGCAATCATTCCACATCTCCTTATTTTTATATTATATAAGGTTAGAGAAACAGGAGATGAAAGACAATAAATCTGCGTAACTAATCATTTGGGTCATTCACGGCCCGTGTTGCCTGGAGGGATTTTTTTAAATTTAGATTTTTCGCTGGGCTGTAGCAATGTCAAAACCGACAAAAAGAAGAAAGAAAGGGGTTTTCTCATTGTTGAAGGCCGTTCTCAATTGAAATGTTTCATATTTTTCATGTCGGGGCCTGTTATAGCCGACTATACGGTATGGGGTTTTCTCATTGTTGAAGGCCGTACGGTTGCCTATAATTGCTTACATCCATTGCATTTGAACTTAGGTGGATATTTGTCTCATTGGCAATCATACCACATCCCCTTATTTTTATATAGAAAAGCAAACGGAAAACGACCAATTAAACATATCAGTGGTCATCCGTGACATGGGTGCTCCTTATATGACAACAAGTTAAGGAGGCGTTCATAAAACTTTGTAATTTTATGCGGCACATCAACACGGCATTTGAATGTATGTCATCGAAACATAAAAGGACATCTAGAAGACGAAAAGAAGTAGAAGACAACTGATCAATATAATGAAATACTTTTATTACAATTTAAAAAAATGATAAGATAATAATGAAAGTTATATAGCTTTTTTAAACAATTTCTTTTATAAATGTAGTTATAAATACGTTGACTTTAGTTTTAATTAGACAAAGAGGCCATTTTTCAACATTAAATCTCTCAATGAATTTCCAGTGATGTCTTCACCAACAAACGGGCTTACATTTTTACTGTGATAGTTGTATTGATAATTCATTCCCTTCCTCAACATGTCTCTAAAATCTGGCAGCCTCGTGCTGGGGAACATATTAGTGCTAGGGTACACTCCAGGAAAAGATGGTTGAATTATTTCTGGTTTTAGTGTCAAATCTATCTTTTTACCAGTTTTACAGTCACGTGTTTCGTCTGACTGTAGTACAAAAATTGGATCGCAACCATCAGCAATTACTTTACAGCCGACAGGTGATAGATAAACTCCTGCGTTGATTCCATATCTGGAAAATATAAAATCGTCGGTAGAACTAATATAAAATATTGACTATTTAATGTTTTGTTTCACTTAAAATTCTTAATTTGTCAACTACTGTAGCATAGCCAATATTAACATGAACATTTTCTACCTGATTTTACTTTTATAATACCACTTACAAAACGTTATAACATATTTCTTGCTCATTTCTTACTTCTATGCATTACAATATGTTACCATTAGGAAAACTGTTTTCTTGCAAGAAATAAATAAGGGCATTTTCCTAATAAACAAAAAGTTTTGTGCTGGCAGAATACATATATATAAATATTCCTATAAAAAACCAAAGTCTTTCATGACCAATTCCTCAGTTTTAATTTCGTTCTTTTCTTTTGGAAAGGTAAGGTTACATCTAGCTATATTTCAAATAATTTATTTCAACACACTGCATATTTGAAAACGTGTAAACGTTTCAATGGCATAAATTGTTAACATTAACAAATGCCCCCGCCTGCTGCTTAAAAAAATTCAAATAATGCCTTTTAGTCTACGAGTGGCATTTTTTTAGATAAAAAATATCATCTTCAAAGCAATGCAAACTAAAAATGAAAAATGCTAAATAGTTGTATAATGTATGTGAGATTTCGGAATGGCGGACGGGTGGACATGGGAAACACTATTTGACCCTGCCACTGGATGACTTGGGTATAAAAACTATGCAGATTAAAGTAAAAAGTAATTAGACTTGCCCACAACAAGATAGTTGTCCATTGTTTCTACATTTACAGTCCATACAATCTGCTGTTCTAAAACTAGATCCGTCCAAAATATCAAGTCCTTTGTATGAACATACTGGTATCATTCGCCCAGTAACTGGAAAAATAATAGTATCATATTCAAATATAAAACAAAAATCTGAATATTGCAATAACATATGCTGTTCTAAAGGAGAATATATAATGAAATTTATCTTGTAGTTTTTAAACAATTTAAACATTTGTTGATAGTTACGGTATTTTTAAGAAGAGTTTGAAAAAACTGAAAATAAATCTAGCCCTATTGAAACTTTACCTGTTTTATCAACTCTACCAGAACTTGTATGGCAGAATCCGTTGACTAGTGGTAAAATCACGACCAGAAATATCAATGACTGCATGATTTCACTATTTTCCTATGTATAAAAGCTACATGCAATATGACAATTTATCATATATCACGGATAGAGCGTAATATTTATAGCTTTGTCGTGTTCCTGATGAAGATCATCATCTGTATGTTACTAAAATTGATTTGAAATAAACATAATTAATCTTAAATGTTTATAACAACAACCTGCTGTTGGGTATACAAAATGTTTATTTTGATGATGACACAGTGTAGAAATGACGTGGCCTCTGGTCAGATATACGCCTTAGTTGGAAGATACAACTAGACAAACAAAACATATGACGAATATTATTTATCTAAGTATTTAATAACACTATGATACATATTCATTTATCGCAATCTACAAAGTTTTGAGAGGACAAAGGACATGTATAGAAACGTCTAATCCAATCAAGAAAAGTGATATAAAATGCTTGTTTTCCCTTTTCTCAAAATATATAATTCCATCTAGGTCCAAACAAAATCCTTTGTATGTAAAATTCTATACATGTAAGCCTAAAATGATGAATGCTTTGTAGACGAAACGCACGTCTGGCGTACACAATTTTTATCCTGGTACAAAATGTATCTATGATAAGTTTATTTTCATACTGTTAATTGTTGGCAACTGCGTAATCACATTTGGCAGTCGTTTAACTGATTTACAATATTGAAGAACTATCAATGGTACAATGCCGGCGTTTCCGAGGTAAAACTACGAAAACTTAAAAAGACACAAAAATAATAATAGAATACCGGCCCGATATTTCGACTTCCATAGGTGAACTGAATAGAGGGAAAACATTTAACACGTAGATTTACTCCGTATTGGAAAAGTCATGCGCGTATCAAATGTTTAATTTATCTTTATCTCAATGTTTAGTTATGATATGTTTTTAAATAAGAAAAGTCTTCAAGTAAAGTAGGTGTATCCTTAAACGAAGCCAGAATTTGGACTCATTGCTCTATACACGCAACATGATTGTGTAATTGTGGTTGCATCCCAGGAATTTTTTTAGATATCAGTTAATCTATTTTAGCAATAATGGAATATTCAAACCCTCCTCATTTACACTGTACAGTGAAAGAAGGTATGGAAAAATCATATTCCTTGATATTGAAAAAACTCGAGTCACAGCAAATTGTTAGAAATGTTTGAAAAAAAGTTCTTCACGCGACATTCGCGAGGATAAAAATAATGCGAATATAAGTCGTCGCAAACATGTCAAACTTGAATCTTACCTTTTATGCATATGGATACGTAAAAAATGTAAGAAACTCTTCAATAAAATAAATCAAAGTAAAGATGGCTAGAAAGGGCTATACAAGATAAAAAAAAAAGTATCCGTGAAAATAAGTTTGTTAACAGAAGCTAAAATGGTGTACAATCTTGCTTCAATGATCATGCCAAGTTAAATTTAGTGTACAACATGTAATCCCTAGAAGCCAAACAAGCTTTCATTGCGGAAATCTCATTTTACAGACAGTAGAACGTTACACATATTTAGGTTTAGTTTTTACTGAACATTTGGACTTTAACGTCATGGCAAAATATGTTGCAGCAGCAGCTTGTCGAGCACTTGGTCTTGTAATTTCAAAATACAAGGGACATGGAGGTTTACCTTTTGGAACTTTTACAAAGCTGTACGACTCTATGGTGTGGAGTACTATTAGTTACGGTGCGGCAGTATGGGGAGATAAGTCATTCTCGTCTATAAATTCAGTTCAAAACAAAGCAATCCGTTTTTTCATTGGCGTTGGTCGTTATACGCCAAACGTTGCAGTTAATGGAGATTCAGGTTGGACACCACCGTTTGTGAAACAATGGCGGGTTATAATAAACTACTGGAATCGGTCGATGATATGGATGAGAATAGACTAAATAAGAAAATAACAATTGGGCAGAGCAGAATTTCAGACGACATCGAGTGTGCAAAATCTCAAACTTTAGAATCTATAAACAATTTGAATTATGTGGGATAGCGACCTGGTTTAATGACATTGACATTGTTAAGCAGCGAGTTATCAATGTGATACATTTAAAACTTATGTCCGACTTCAAACAGAAATTGAATGAAGATTTGCATAGTGACACTACTAGACGAAATGGACCAGGGGGTAACAAACTGCGTACATATAGAACATTTAAACAGAATGTATATACAGAACTTTACCTAAATACACTTATTATACCATCACACCGAAGAGCTTATTCTCAGTTTTGCTGCGGTGTTGCCCCAATACGGGTGGAGACAGGACGCTACGAGAGTCTCCCAATAGACCAAAGAACTTGTTTTGTTTGTGACGATAAAATTGAAACGGAGGAGCATGTATTGACTGAATGTCCGTTGTATGGTGATCTTAGAGACGAAATGTATAAGATTTTAAATTTTGAAAACGAAAATTTCAGTCTTCGGCCGAATTCAGTGAAAATTTCATTTTAGCGAATGACAATATTAATGTGATACAAAAATGTGCCAAAACCTGCAAACTTATTTTAGACCGTAGAAGACGTTTTTTATACCGATAATAGATGTAAATATGTTTTATGATTTAACTTTTGTTTTATAATAGCTTTTTGAGAATGTGTTAATACTAGTTCCTTTTTAATCCGTCTCTCATAATTCTTTTTAGAATGGCATTAATATTTTTTTTAAAGTTTACTTTTACAATGTGAAATGCGTATACTGTATTATTGATGGTGAGACGTTAATAAATTATTATTGTATCATTGTATTGTAAATTAATAATCTTCAATCAATTGTTAATTACATTGTATCTAGTGCAAAACACAATGGTTATCTATTATAGAGGATTGTGTCTATAATTTCTTGTTTTTTTTTCTTTAGTAAAAATAATTTTGAACAATTTTTGAACAATCTAATTAAAATATAGACCTCTGATTTCGTTATACTCTTATATGTACGAGCATGCGAGTTAATATAGATTAGAATTTTAATCAGATTAATTTTGAATTGATTGTTTTTGATTGACAAATATGTAATCCATATTCAGGACGAGAATAAATTAACAATAAAATATAAAATTGGTTCCTCAAAGTGGGTCAAGCTTGATTTAGGACAGGAATTTAGACTACCAGTGAAAAATAATGTTGAAAAGGGTAGAAATTTAACTTTGCAAAATGCCACCTACAGACCCCTCATAGGGTTCTTGTAAAGGTTCCTTATCGTACGAGAGAGAAACAAGCTCCTTTGGTGAGTTATCGGATTTATGGTCCCGATTCCGACCGGACGTGACTGAATATTTTTGCATCCAACACTGCCAAACATAAACCCTCTTTAGCATGCATGTATTTTACTGTTCGATGTTAGATGTCCATAAGTCCATGGAAGTCTACATTTCTATATTCCTGTCAACCCTTGAAATCATTTAAATAAAAAGCACCAGCTTTTCAATTAAAAGAACACCATGATTATTACGTTTTTTTTTGTATTTACAATTCTCGAGCTGCAATTCCATAAAATCCAATTTAATGTGTATTTTCTTTCAGCGTAACATTATCAGTACACCTGGTAAATTGAAAATTGAGTTATTTCCCTTAAAATGTGCAATTTCAATGTTAGTTAGGTGTAGCTATAAATGTTCAATATAAAGAGAGCACCTACCCCCTTTAACAACTATATGTAACTGTACTGCCTTCAATTAATGTAGATTCGAAAACGATCAACTACAAAAAAGTAGCATACACATTAAATAAACCTTATATCTATTTGTTCGGCAGTAAGTTTGCTTTTGAAAATTGAGGAATATTAATATGACATAAATTTGTAAAGTTGGGTTAACTAAATCAAAATAATCAACTCTTTTGTGTTCATTTGGAAAAGATAGGTGAAAACAATTTGGCACTAAGTATTGTAACAGAAAGCATTAGAACTAGACTAAATGTTTCACTTATTGATTTGCATTGTGAATAAACATGGCATACCTGACCAATTCTTTTTTAAATAATCATATCAAATGTCAATTTGTGTTAAGTAAATCACATTTTAGTCATTTCATGTCTTAGTGCACACAGATATTTAATTGTTTTAACAACGCTATAATAAATAAAAAATGTTTCTTTCCGCTAACTAATTTCCTTTGTATTCTGCTCTTGCTATATTTTTTATAATATGCGATATAACTAACCCTGAGCATAAAACGAGAATATTATTTCAGATGTTGGTTTATGGAATAACGTCTAATATGTGATTTGTTTTCAATATAAACATAAAGCAGGAAAAGAGAATTATGGGAATATATTTTTACATTTTAATTTATGTTGGATGTTTATCCATTTTGCCTATTAGGATAGGTAAGTATAGATGAAGAACTAGACAAATAATTTTAAGATAGCAACACCAAGCCAAATAATCAAAGAAGATGATATACCGACTTCTATTTTATTATTTTGAGCTGTTAATGATTATGTGTGAAAATCTGTGTTACAAGCCTTTCTAAATACTGCCGAAGAAATTATTGTTAACCATGAAAACACGACAGTGCTTTTAACATTTTGTAGCAGCCAAACAACACAATATAATAACCAAAAAAAATCACCTACAGACCACTATACATGTAAGAATTTCAATAACTAATACAATTAAATTATCATGTTTCAAATAGAAATACATGTTTGAATGTTATTTTGATTTTAGTTACAACAGTCATCATGTCATTTAACCGAGGCGAAAAAAATAGCATATATAAGTAAAATGTATTTATACTTTTTTAAAGTCGGTTAAAGTAGTTAATACACTATTACCGCTGTCTTCCTCTAATATTTTAGTGGGTTACGACATAGCTACAACTCAGCGAAAAATCTCAATTTAAAAAAAACCCTCCATGCAACACTGTGAATAGTTACGCAGCATATTGTCTTTCATCTCCTGTTTCTCTAATCTCGTTTAAGTTTCCAAGGCAAGGGAAAAAAGTCATTGAGTTTCCATTCTTCCTCGTATGAAATGCTCATAATATCAATCGCTTTCCCAAATTCCTCATCTTCAAACGCTTTGTTAATTTCGTTTTTGATCTTTCTAGCTAGATGCATTTTTTTAACTTTGTTTTTGCTGCTTTGATAAGTTTGCACAGAACACCTAGAGTCAAAATTGTGATGCAGTTTA